CTCGTTGCATTGTGCACATTGGCATCTTGTGAATGTTGCATCTATGCTGCTGGTTGTTGCCACTTTCGTCATTGCTAGATCTTAGGCTCTCAGTGCATTTCACTTTCTGATATGCTACAAGTGGTATCGGAGCTAGTGCGGTGAATCTTGGCAACAACCAATCAATCGATTGATTGATTGGATTGGCGGTTTGCCACCAATCAATCTTCGATTGATTGATCAGTCAATCAGGAGATTGATCGAACAATCGATCAATCAACCAGCAATCATCTGAGATTGACTGATTGATTGATTGATTGATTGATTAATTAAGTTGATTGATTATTTGGCAATTGTTTAATCTTGGAAATTTCCCGGAATTAATTATTTCTTTATTTTTTTTTTCCGAGAAATTATTTCTTTTTCGGAGAATTTTTTTTTCCGAGGAATTATTTTTTTTTCCGAGAAAATTTTTTCGAGAAATTATTATTCTTTTCCGAAAAATTATGTTTCCGAGAAATTTGGTTTCCGATATTTTTTTTTCGTTCTGAGAATTCTTTTCCCGAGAATTTTTTTTTTACCTTGTTTAATTGTTAAATGTCTGCATTTTGATAATTTCGCGATTCTTTTCCGAAAATGTCCCTCTACACTTTCACTGCGTAGGTCTGCAAATTCCGTTCTTTTTTTTCAAAAAAAAAAAAAAAAAGGGCATTTTTTCCTTTCTGCAACCTACTCCTACTCTGAGTTGTAAAGATACTTCTTTTCTGATTCTCTGCAGTTGAGCACCGAAGGTTCACAGTTGCTTTCTGCATCACCTTCGGCACTCAGTGGGATTGGACAGTCTTTTTTTTTGAATTTTGATTTATTTCTTAATAAAAAATTATTATTATTTTTTTTTCTTTTTTTGATTAGGGAACTGTTCAATTTGGGATCTGTCCGATCCTTCCCACCTGTCTGCTGCCTACCTGTTCATTCCCCTCCAGTCCGGGTACTGCTGTTGGCACATGGGTGACTCTTCAGAGTTCGGGCACGACAGTGCATGCCACTGCTCACTCGATCACAGACCAAAGGCATGGACCAGAAGGCGGGAGAATCCCTCCTAGCCTATGAGGAACGCCTAGCTGCGTTCATCCAGGAGGCCAACGATAGGGCCGCCGCCGCGGCCAAGGAATGGAACCGGATTGAGAAAGAGGAGGAGACCAAGCGACAGCAGGAGTAACAGGACCGACTTCGTCAAGAGGAGGCAGACCTGCAGGCTGCAGTTGAACACCGGTCCCGCCAACGCGAAGGACTGTTCACACGGGAGACCGCGATCGGTGATGAAACCGCACAATGGGTGGAGATGGCAGCTGCGGACGAGGCCTCGGAGACTGACAAAGGGTTGTCAGCCGTTGCGCAGATCTCCCACGACCTCGCGGCCACCTGCGCTCTGCAGCAGGAGGAAATTCTTCGCCTGCAGCAGACAGTGGACCAGATGCTTGTACGGCTGCAGGCGTTCGAGAAACAGCCAGTCGCCGCAGCCGCTGCAGGGCCTTCAAACCTTGCCACCCGTGTTCAAGTTTTGGAGGATGACATCAGCAACATTAAGCGTGTGCATCGGGATTTTCGGACGTCGCAGCAAGCAACGAACTTGCAGTTGGAGACGCAGGTCCAGGCTGCTGCCACCGTGACGCCCGCGGCCGCATCCTCCCGGCGCCCACCCAAACTGGATGACATTCCAGTTTTCTGCGATCAGTCCAAGACGGAACCGATCCCGTGGTGGCGCCAGTTTACTCTCAGGCTCGACAGGCACCATGTCCCGAACAACGATCGACATCCGTGCTTGTACCACCGATCTGGTGGTGCATGTCAAGCATGGCTGGACAACATCTTGACCAGCCACGGCGTAGCAGTGTCGGAACTGCACACCAAGCTCACTTGGCAGGAGTTGACTGACACTTGGCACAAGCGATTCCAAGTGGAGCCGCCCGATCTGCAAGCGATGGACAAGCTCAACAAGCTCCATCAGAACACGCTGCTCAGTCAGGACTGGATTACCGAGTTCCAAAKACTCGCCTCCACACCTGACCTGCCGCTCGCATTCCGCGCCATCAAGCACTTGTTTATCATGCGCTCGTGTCCAGCTCTGCAAAACGCGTTGACGCAGATTGCAGA